TGAGAAATCTGAAAGGGATATTAGGGAAACAATTCCATTTACAATAGTATCTAAAAGAATAAAATACCTAGGAATAAATCTAACCAGGAATGTGAAAGACTTATACAATGAAAAGTAGCTCCATGTTCATTGATTGGAATACTTAATATTGTTAAGATGTCAATACCACCCAAAGTGATCTACGGATTCAACGCAATGTCAATCAAAATTCCTACAGTCTTCTTTACAGAAATAGAAAAACCAATCCTCCACTTAATATGGAATGGCAAGAGGTCCTAAGTAGCTAAAGCAATATTGAAAGAGAGGAACAAAGACTCACACTTCCTGATTTTAAAACATTCTGTATAATGACAGTAATCAAAACAACCTAGTACTATCATACCGAGAGACAAACAGACCAATGGAATAGAATTGAGAGTCCAGAAATAAACTTATACATCTATGGTCAAATGATTTTTAACAAGGGTGCTAAGTCCATTCAATGAGGAAAGAAGAGTCTCTTTAATAGATGGTACTGGCAAAACTGGATTTATATAGAAAAATGAAACAAGATCTATGTCTCACACCATACACAAAACAAAAGGATTAAGAACTTAGATGTGCAAATTAAAACCTTCTAGTTCACTGCACAGTATTCTTTGAAGAAAAAGCACGGGCAACACTGTCAGGTCTAGCTTTCAACAATGGATTAAATAACATTAAAAAAAAAAAAAAAAAAAAAACCCAACAGCAAAAGACAAAATAAATTAAAAAAAGAAAAAGACCTAATAAAAATTAAAATACCAAAAAAGTGAAAAGATAAGCTACTGCCTGGGAGAGTATCTTTGCAAATCATAAATCTGACAAAAATCTAATAACCAAAATACATATAAAACTTCAACAAATTAACAACAAAGATAAATAAAGCAATCATAAAAAGGGAAAAGGACTTGAATATACATTTCACCAAGAAGAACATTTAAATGGGCACCAAACATGTGAACATCATTAGCTCAACATCATTAGCTACCAGAGAGATGCAAATCAAAACCACAATGAGATACCAATTCATTTCCACTAGGACTCCTTGGAAGGAAGGTTGGGCAATCTACTTCCATAGTGATACCGCCTCCGCCTCGGAAACCCAAGGAGGGGTCACTGTGAGTCAGATCTGACTCAACGGCAGATAACAACAACAGGATAGCTAAGATTTAAAAAATAATGAATGTTAGCTAGGATTTGGGGAAATTGGAACCCTTACCAATTGCTAATGATTCCCCCTAGCAAAATGATACAGTCATTGTAGAAAACAATGTGGCAGTTCCTCAAAAAACTAAAAATAGGACTATACTATGACCCAGCAATTCTACTCCCAGGTATTTATCCAAGAGACATGAAACAGAGATTCAAAAAGAGACTTGTACACCAATGTTCACTGCAGCACTATTCATAATAGTCAAAGGGTGGAAACAATATAAATGCCCATCAATAGATGAATGGACTATAAAAAATGTGGTACATCCATACAATGGAATACTACTCAGCCAGTAGGAGAAATGAAGTTTTGATAATGTCACAGTATGGATGGAGCTTGAAGACACTATCCTGAGTGAAATAACCCAATCATAAAAGGGCAAATATTGCATGACCTCAATTATATAAAATGAGAAGAAAGGACAAATGTATAGAGACCAAAGTTTATTAGTAGTTATGAGGAGCGGGAGAGAGCAAGAAAAGGGGGTGGGGGGGTAGGTTAATAGTAATGAAAAAATTGCAAAGATTAAGGGTAGTGTTGCATAGCTGATCATTGTGATTTCTACAATAAGCTGTATACCTATAAAAAGTTCAGTTGGCATCTGTTGAACATAAAATGAATCTGCTTTGTAAAATTTCACCCAAATCACAACAAAAAGTTAAAAATAAAATTTAAATTGGCAAAAGTTCTGTCATAGATATATTTACAACAATGAAAAAAGAATAGCTGCTTATGTACAACCAAACACCTTTTATGATTTGGATCCTTGGGTCATGGTTTCATGGGACATCTCGGTTAACTGGCCTACTAGCGTGTTTAGAGTTTGCTTCTGTTCTACCTTCTAGTTCACTGCATAGTGTCTGGGATCTTAAAAGCTTGCAAGGAGCCAGCCAAGGCACAACAATTGGTCGCTATTTGCCTAGAGCACCAGAGTAAAGGAGCATCAAGAATAGAAGGAGGATATGGAATACATTGTTAATTGACTCCATGAACAACTGCCACCTCTGTGAAGAGACTAGAAAAACAGGATGGTACCTGGCTACCGTTACTGAACATTTTGATCAAAAATTCCATGGAAGAATCCTGATCAAAAGGGGGGAAAATGCAGAACAAAATTTCAAATTCTCACAGATTCTAGACTTTCCGGAGCCACAAAGAGTAGATGAACCCTTCAAACTATTGCCCTGAAATAATCTTTAGTCATTAAACCAAAAATATCCCCAGAAATCATATTAAAACTTAACTACAGTTTAGCTTAACTACTAAAAAAGGTCATAATTGAGCATTATGCTTTTTTTAAGGACTACCTATATGGCATCAAAGGAGCTCTGGTGGCATTGTGCCTAAGGCATATGACTGCCAACCAGAAGGTTGGTGGTTCAAACCCACCACCAGCCACTCTGTGGAAGAAAAATTGGGCAATCCACTTCCATAAAGCTTTACCACTTTGGAAACTCAAAGGAGTCATTATGATTGGAATCAACTCAATGGCAGTAAGTTTTATATGGGATCAAATTGACTATTAAAAAAAAAACAAAAACATTGCCGTAGAGTAGGATCCAACTCATAGCGACCCCTCCTTGGGTTTCTGAGGCAGGCAGTATCCCTACAGTAGATTGTCCAACCTTCCTTGGAAGGAGTGGCTGGTGAGTTTGAATGGCCAGCCTTCCAGTTAGCAGTCAAGTGACTTAGGCACTACGCCACCAGAGCTTCCAAATTGACAATAGCAACTCAAAAGATTATTGTTGTTGTTATATGCCATCCAGTCGGACAGGACTCATAATGACCCCTTCCTTGGGTTTCCAAGGCGGTATCCCTATGGAAGTAGATTGTCCAACATTCCTTCCAAGGAGTGGCTGGTGGGTTAGATAGTATCTTAGGAGGCACTGAGTTTATGTTAATGATGGAGGGACAATTCAGAAAAGGAGGGGGAGAATGGTTGTACAACTCGAAGAATATAATCACTGTCACTAAATTGTACACATAGAAACTATTGAATTGGTGTATACTTTCTATATATTTGTGCATATTTTCAACAATAAAATAAGTAAAATGAAGGGAAAAAAAGCGTTTACGAATCCATGCTTTAAAGCCTCAATGCGTAGGGAAACATGCTGTCATTGATAAAAAATGTAATTTATGTAGAACAGATTTAAGAAGGTGAAGATGTTCATTTTAAAATACTGAGCTTTAAAGCACCAAGAAGCAGAAGTGAAGACGTCCAGTGAGTAGATGGATGGTTAGCAAACAGATGGTTGGTAAAGAGGAACTGACTTTGGCAGATAACTGTTAAGTGAGAGGGATCTCCTGTTCTTCTATTTAGATCTGATAAATGAATGAAATCATAAAGGTAAAAAGGGTTTAAAGATGATTTATAACTATAAAACATCTACTTGTGGGGTGGGAAGGAGGCAAAGAAGAAACATAAGAATGCAATAATGCATTCTAAGAAAGCATGTAAGCCGAAAGATTAGAAAAGGAATGCTATAATTAACAATAACAACTCATTCTGAGACTCAAAAGATAAGAAACTTCCTAAGACAATTGGAAGAGGAACGGCCTAAGCCTTCTTCATAAAGGAAATAAGTACTCTTATTACTGACTCCACTGTGATGGAACTATTGGTCTTTTGAGTTTTCTTGGTAATGTTTCCCTCATTATTTAGTTTATAAACTAAACTCAAACCCATTGCAGTTGAGTTGATTCCAACTCAGAGTGATCCTACAGGAAAGAGAACTGCTGTCAAAGGGTTTCCAAGGCTGTAATCTTTATGGAAGCAGACTGCCTCGTTGTTTTCCCTTCGGAGCAGCAAGTGGGTTCAAAGCACTGATCTTATAATAAGCAGCCGAGCACTTAACCACTGTACCACCAGGGAATCTATTTAGTTTATGTTCTCAACTAATTCATATCACTAACTAGTTCAAAGGAGCTCTGGTAGCATAGTGCCTAAGGCACTTGACTGCTAACCAGAAGGCTGGCGGTTCAAACCCACCAGCCACTCCTCGGAAGGAAGGTTGGGCAATCCTACTTCCGTAGTGATACTGCCTCGGAAACCCAAGGAGGGGTCGCTATGAGTCGGGGCCGACTCGACAGCAAATAACAACAACAACAACAACTAGTTCAAACCTTGATCTCATAACTATATTATTGACATACATTTCTGACTATTCTCCTTACCTCCAAGTCTCAACTTTTCAAATCAGATACTTTTCTAAATACTTTTATCCTGTCACTTCTCAAGTCAAAAAAATCTCCAATACCCAACTTAATGTTTTCATTCTTTACCCTAGCTCACCATAATGTAATCCTAATCCTTACCATGAAACCTTCACTTAAGTCAGACACAGATAGATTACTTCTTCCCTACATACCTTTCTTCCACAGCATCCTTCCAATAAAAAATATGATATAAGCATACGACCCCCAATCAGTACCCCAGACTATACCCATTCTTTAAGAAGGCTTAAGTTCAATTTCCTCTTTAATGGATCTCTGATCACTACAACCCCGGGAACTTTTCTTCTTTGAACACATTTTATGTTTGTGCTGATTTCATATTTAATATTCAACTGCATAGCCATTTTAACTCTTTACATGCATGTCACACCTTTGCAACTATGCTAGCAGCACCCGAAAGACATGAAACACAGCTTATACTTCTTTATGTTCAAGCACACTTTAGAATAAAGTTTTAGATAAAAATATTTTAGATTTTTATAGATAAAAGTATATCACAGTATCTCCACAAAAAGGGACAGCCACTTACCTCCTACACTCTGTCTTCGCTTTCTCTTACATTCTCCAGGAGATTCATATTCACCTTCTTCAAAGCCTTCTAGTGATGGAGTAGCACACAGACCATCAACACCCAACATAGCTGGTATCTTTTCCAGGATAAAATCTGGTACACGTCCTAAATGAAAATGTTTACAAATAAGACAATTATTACCCTCCTACACCACCCAAAGGAAAAAAAAAAAAAAAAAATATATATATATATGTATATACCAAATTTTCTAAGATTTGTCTTCATTATTGACTTGGAAGAAGCTGATACTTCCCTCACTTAAATACAGCCTGGCATTTAATAATGCAAGTCTTACCAATATCTGATGCATAATCAATAAAAGTCTGCACTACAGCAGCCTGTAATCGGAGCTTTTTTTCTGTGTTAGCAGACATCTTTTCATGTCCCTCACTTGTCTGAAGAAGATTTGGTGCAAATATTACTGCAAGATTGCTGCTATCCATTTTATTTTCACTGGATCTTAAAAGAGATAAAGGTTTTATTAGATGGAGTCAAAGATGAAAACAAAGAGGTAAAATAATATACTTAGTCCATTTTTATGACTCCTTACTTATAAGTCACAAACAAGTCAATACAGGAACCACATCATTGACTGGAACACAGACAAAGCAGAAATATACAGCTTCTGTGTGTTTAAACATATACTGCAAAAACCATACTAATCACAGAATTCTCCTAGGTCCATACTTTGCTTTTCCACACAAATTGAACATATTTATCTGATTTTCCAACTTACACATAGAAAATTGGAAGTATTAAAAGCCATCAAGCATGTCTAGAATAGGCAGGCTCTCAAACATCAGGGAAGAGTGAAAGCTAAAGAGAAGGAGAGGGATGGGGCAGGGTGGGGTGGGGGAAGACAAATTTTAAAAACAAAGTCAAATATTTCAAAAAAGTAATCTAAAGTCTTTCAGTGGACAAAAAGTCCTACTAACACCAATAAACCATGAAGTCATTCATAGCAGTAATTCTAAGATGGCAATGGACTATTAAATCATTTAATATATTCTCTCTTAAATTATACAGGAGCTGTAGTCGTACAATGGTTAAGTGCTTGGCTGCTAACCCAAAGGCTGGCAATTCAAACCCATCTAGTGAAGCAGTTCTACTCAGTCACATGGGATCACTGCGAATTGAAAAACAACTTCACAGCACCCAATATGGTACTTCTTATACAAAGAAGTATGTAATACTTTGTAAAAAAAAATTTCCATTCCTAATAAAATGTAATTTATTATCTATTAGGGTAAACTTTTATATAGTTGAGAAATTAAACTAATATGTCTCAAGAGCTTCAATTACCACTCACCTAAGGGAAACATTCCTGAGAAAGTTAAAGAAGTATCTTAATATATCAATTGTGTGGTCAGCCATAAGACAGGAGAGCAACAACGTAGCTTTATTCTTCTCCTCTGTTCTCAATTGTTGAGCTCTGAAAAATGCTTCATGCAAATCTGCTGGGAGAACAGGCTCTGGCAACTCCCTAAAAAACTGCTTAAGAAGTCCTGCAATATCACAAGGCAGTGCAGAAGACAGGCAACTTTCCCCATGATCCAGATTATCCTGAAATAAATGCAACAATCTTAAGAATATTTTGGGTTTAAGAGCTTATTGCAAATAAAATCCTTCTTCTATATCCTAAATTAAAGAGATTTTTTGAAAGTAAACATCTCTTAACTCTTGTTTGAATATACATTACTCCTTTCTAGAGGCTTTCTGGGTGGCACAAATGTTTAAGCACTTGACTACTAGCTCAAAGGCTGATGGCTTAAATCCACCCACCAATGCCTCGGAAGATGGCCCAGCAATCTGCTTCCGAAAGGTCACAGATTTGAATACCTTAAGAAACTCCTCAGAAGGAAGATGGGGCAATCTACTTCCGTAGTGATACTGCCTCAGAAACCCAAGGAGGGGTCGCTATAAGTCGGGTCCAACTCCATGGCACATAACAACAATAACATGAAGCAGTTCTACTCTGCACACATGAGGCTGCTCACCATGAGTTGGAATAGACTTGATGACAACTAACAACAATAACTCTTCTTCTTAGAGGGCTAAAACCAGAAAGATTTAAGTATTGTTTCATTCATATAGTATTTTACAGAAATGAGGAACATAATTTGAAAGTACTCTGTAAACTTTTAAAGAATTATAGAAATTATATACTATATCCTTTGAAAACAAGATTCTCTTGCCATGAAAAAAGCAATTTGCAATCAATTTCGGTCCATTATTAGCAAAACTAGTCTAAATATTTCAGTCATAAAAACCAAATCAGTAAATGGTACAAATGAAAACAATAGTTTAAAATATGTTTACCTTTAGTGCTCTTAGACGGATAACAGATCCTGATTTTCTAAAAAGTCCTTCTGTATGAACATGTTTTTCTAAAGACGTACAAGCATCAACAAGAAAGCTAAAAGAGAGAATCTTTTTCAGTTGACCAGAAACACATCTTACCAAATCCTTCATTCTCCCCAAGTACACAAGCAGACCAAGAATACTTACTTCTCACTTAACAACCTAATTAGGATCCAAAGACCAGGTTGTTGCATGAAAATCAGCATTATGTGAAAATGCAGGATGACTATCACTATCAGATCACAAAATTCAGATGACAACATCAGTATGTAACTGCCAAATTACACCATTAGGTAACTGTGAAATCACTGAGAATCAAGGCTCAGCCAAGTTGACACATAATCTTAAAAGCTGTGTTATTCTTGCTTCACACCTTAGCATTCATTACTGCCAGGTACACATTAACATGCAAAATTGTCATATAGCAGTTTTACTATTGTCATAAATGTGAAATGTCAGATGAGGTAGTCAATAAGTGACGAGAGGGTATACTATGTCCCCTTACAGAAGCTTTGATGCCACAAATTTTTAATCTTTGTGATAAAAGGTTACTTTTAGCTGTCCCTCTTGCTTCTTAGGATTCTTCTCTAAGGTCTCTTTTTTTCCTCCATGTAAATTCAATGAGCTCTCTCAATCCTACATCTTTCTCAAGGTATCCTTCTTCTGTTATTTCCTTTAGAGTACAAGACTTGTCTTGTCTCCACTTCTTCATATCCAGGTCTCTACTCAACACTCTCCAATCAGACTTTTATCTTCATTACTCAAATGAAAGGGATCCCTGGATGATGCAAATGGTTAATGAGATCAGCTGCTAACTGAAAGGCTGGAGTTTCAAGTCCACCCAGAGGCCATCTTGGAAAAAAGCCCTGGCTATCTACTTCCAAAAAACCAGTCAATGAGCATAGTTCTATTCTGATACACATGGGGTTGCCACCAGTCAAAATCTTACCCCTACAGGGCAAATGGGAGAAAAACTTTCCTAAAGCAACAAAGTGTTCAAGAAAAGTTTTGAATTATGTATCAACTAAAGTTTAAGTTATTGCATGAGAACAGAAAAACTAAACCTTACTTTGGATAGACAGGCAATGAATTAGAAATTAGGTAAGATCTAAGATCATTTCTTGACATGAAGTTTAAAGCTATTTTATAAGCCACTTCCCAGTAATTTCTGAAGCAGTCAGTCCAAAAGGTTATTTATAAATGTTAAGTGGCATGGAAAAGCAAAAGTGTTAATTTGTGTTGAAAAATAGTCCAATATCTTAGCTTAAATATTCCTTTATCTAACATTTTTAAAACCAATAAAAAAAATACCAAAATTATTACTGTGTCATAGATCTGAATGACAGCAAACATTTAGAATAGAAATGAAAATTCTGATTTAATAGAACAAATATAATTTGCTTCTTAACATTTATCCATTTCTGACCCTTAATATTGTGTCCTAGGAAGAAGTACAAATTACCAAGTTATAATAAAATATACAAAAGTTAATTTTTTTTATATTAGCTGATGTTGAGAAAGATGAATCATTTACCAGCATGAAACACATTCTGAATCAATTAACTTTATTTTTAAAAGTTCTAACAACACTTTGAAATATTCATTTTATTCTTCATTTTAAACTTTGCTTACCTTGGAATGTGTCCATATTCAGGTACAACAGAATGGGGCAATACATTAAAAGTTACTCCAAATACCTTACCCTAAAATGACAAATTCAGTTACTTTAAGACAAATATTAGGTATAATACAAGTTTTCTTAAACATAAGGCAATTATGTTTAAAAAATTAAAACCTGCAAGGGGAGAAAAATAACAGAAATAAACTATCAGTCAAAACAACTAAAACAATTATTTCAGATGCATATGGCAACAAGTAATTACTGTATTAGACATCCTAGGTGCTAATAGTACAAAGGTGAACAAGATAAAATCTTTTCCTGCAAACTAATAAATTTAGTCTGCAATCCAATACTAGAGATTCAATCCTATTAGTGCTTAGTTAGGAAATTCTTAAACAGACTTTGACCCAAAACACAAACATTAAAAAATAAAACAAAACAACCAAAAAAAAAAAAAACTACAGGTTCATTCAGTGATCTTATACTGACCTTACTTTTTCCTTTTGTCAGTTTATAAATACTAATTTGAATCAACTGAACCAAGTCATTTGCTAAGCAAAAATTCTAACTCATGTTACTCATTGATACTTCTTAATATTGCAACAGTAGTAGTTATTTTTAAACTTGATCATTTTTTAAAATTTTATTTATTTTGTTGTTAGAATATATACAGGAACACATACCAATTCAAGTTTCTACACACACAATTCTTACATTTTTCCTGTTGTGCAATGATTATCACCCTCCTTTTCTGAGTTGTTCATGACTTGTTCAAATAAACCCATTGCCTTCTGAGCATCTTTGGAGTTGCCGTTGTCTGTCTGATGTCATATAGATAGTTCCTAAAAGGACATATGCTCAAAGCAGACTTTTTTTTTTTTTTTTTTTTTTACAAGTTAGGCAAAACTACTGTTCGGTTTTAACATGACTTCAGGAGATATTTTTGGTTTGAGGCTTAAAAATTATCTCAGGGCTTTATTCATCCAGCCTCCACGGCTCCAGAAAGTCTGGAACCCATGAGGATTTGAAATTCTGTTCTGCATTTCCCTGCTTCTGATCAGGATTCTTCTATAGAATCTTTGATCAAAATGTTCAGTAATGGCAGCTGGGCACCATCCAGGTCTTCTGGTCTCATGGCAAAGGAGGCATTTATTTATTCCTGGTTAAACTTGATAAATTTTTTCTACATGCTACAAAAGAATGCTTCTCAAACAATGCTTAGAGGCAACCAAGGTAGGGACTGTATAAATATTTAATTCAAATTTCATCTTACTATTTTCAAATCATTTTTTTAAAATTCCCATTCAAAAGTGTTACATTCAAATTTTAATCTTGAAGATATCAAAAGTAAACTTGTGCATTGGTTAAATTGGGTGTTTTTGTACACCTCTGAATAAAGAATGTACTGCTATCTTTGTGCATGCATTTTAACATCTTAAAAATGTGTCACTGATTGGGAAGGTTGTGGCTTTTTTACTGCACTTAAAAGTAAATTCAAGCCTGTACATGTCTATTACAAAAAACTGAGTGAGTACACCTAATCTCACACTTGCTAATTTACCTTAGACACATCCTCTCTCCATGAATACTCTTATGTGTCAAGAGCACTTTATTTACTCATATATTTACAGTAATGAATCATTTGGGATTAAAGTTTCAACACAGTAACAAAAATTTACTAGTTCTCTTTCAAGCATTTGAATCTATTTAATTGATGAGTATTCCAAGATAGAAAGAAAGTACAGTATAGTGCTTAAGACAGCAGGCTTCCAGAGTCAAGACAGGCTGGTTTTATAACCTGGTTCTGCCACTTAAGTATTAGTTGAGTGACCTTGCTCAAGAAAAAATTCTCTATGCCTTGGTATCCTCACATAGATCCTAAGTCGAAGTTGTAGAGAGAATTAAATTAATTAAAGCAAGTAAAACTCTTATCAGTGTCTGACACAGTAAGCACCCAAAGAACATTTTTGTTATGATTATCATTTCAAGATGAGCTATTAAAAAGAAAAAGCATGCATTACCCCTTGAGTAAATCAGAATTTGTGCAACAACAATAAAAAAGCAAAAATAAATCAGATGCTAAAGTTGCCATAAGACTACAATTGTCACACATAATAGAATTCAGGTTTTTATTTTTTTCCCCTTTAAAGGTCTCACTGTTCTCAATGATTGACTTCACAAGTAACTGCTATAATTTAATCTCATAAAATAACACTGATAACATGCTTTGTAAATTTTATGTAATGGAATATCACTTTCTATTATTTTGTAAAAGATTTTCAGTATGTTTCTCAAAAACCACTGTAGCTAACAAAACATCAAAGAGAAATCTCATCTCAAAGCTCTCACTGCCATGGAATTGATTCAACTCATCGTGACCCCTCCTTGGGTTTACAAGGAGGTATCTCTACAGAGGTAGATTGCACAATCTTCCTTCTGACGAGTGGCTAGTGGGTTTGAACCGCCAGCCTTCCAGTTAGCAGTCAAATGCCTTAGGCACTACGCCACCTTATACTCATTTCTCATACTCAAAGAAATTCCCTATCCTGGCAGATTTCATTCTTCTCACACAATGATTTTCTGTTTTTCTTTATTAAACTACTTTAATTAGGGTTTCTATCTAAACTTATAAGAAGCCTGGTGGCATAGTGGTTATGCTGTCAGCTGCTGGTTCAAATCCACCCAGCAGCTCAGCAGGAGAAAACCTGGCAATATGCTCCCAGTAAAGATTACAGCCTAGAAAATCCTATGGGGCATTTCTACTCCATCATATGGGGTAGCTATGAGTAGGAACTGACCTGACAGCATACAACATTTGAATTTATATAGAATGATTGTCCATTAGGATGTAGACCACTGATTACAACAACATCCATCATTAGTTGAACAAGTGGTATGTGACAGGTGCTGAGCTAGGCCTTTCTACAGATGTTACTGTTTTTAAATCCCCTAAACAGGAACTCTGGTGGTATAGTGGTTAAGGCACTTGACATTTTTGAGACAATTTTGATTGTCACAACTGGGAGGATGCTATGGCATCTAGTGGGTTGTTGTTGTTATTGCTGTTGAGTCGGACCCAACTCATAGCAGCCCCTCCTTGGGTTTCTGAGGCAGTATCACTACGGAAGTAGGATTGCCCAACCTTCCTTCCGAGGAGTGGCTGATGGGTTTGAACCACCAGCCTTCTGGTTAGCAGTCA